ACCGGAACGAAATTTAATCGTTTCGGGGCTAAAACAGACCCAGAAAAATAGGGTCATGTGGTGCGTTGTGGATCAAGCGTTGGGAGGCTATAAATAGGGGAAGAAATCATATTTCCTTCCCTATTCATCAGTCGGTTCCAACGTGAGGGAAAGAGAGGGAAAAGAGAGAGTTCTCCACCTTCTCTCTACGATCTACAAAGTTACAGTGCTCAAATCCACTCGAGACAAGAACAAAAGTCGATTTCCTCGTCGAGGGTTACACGACCACACCAAAAACGAGGGATTTCACTGAAGTTTCAAAATCAAGCTTGGTGGAATCAAGGGCTTGGGGCAAAAATTGAGGTCTCGAAGGCTTCTACCAAGTGGTTTACGCTTCAAGAGGTAGGGTTCCCTCCTACTTAGGTGTATTCCAAACCTATGATGTTTATATGAAATGGGTAGGTTGATAGATTTAAATATCACTTGCCTATTGTTGGTGGTTTGGTGAAATGGGTATAGAAAATGGGTAGGGCAAACTCTATCTTGAAATTGAGTATATGAGAATTGCATAATGAAATTTCTTTCAGAAGTGTGATATGTGGGCATGCTATGTGTTTACATTATGCCCTGATGAATTCAAAATGTTGATAACCTGATTGTGTGATAACACACTTGGAAGTGGTGTTGTGAAAATAGTTGATGTATATATACATGCTTGTGATATATTGGAATTAATGGATTATGGAAATTATATGTTTAGAATGAAATTATCCATAGTATGTATTGAGATTGTTCATATGTCATCCATAGCATATTGGGCATCGTATTTTTGTTGAAATGAGGCATCAAAATGCATATGCATGGGGACATCACACTATATAGGCGTGTGTGTGCATGGTTGTTTGTCAACATCACGCTCAGTGGATGACTGGTGGGCTCGAGTAAGCTTGGTCAAAGACCTAGCTGAGTCTCACGGATTACATGGTAATTAGGGTTAGGGTTAGCAAGAAGGGCTAGAAGATCCCTCGGGTGCAAGGCCCAGTGATGGGATATGCACTCCCTTGGTTCTGTCCATGAAGTGTGTGGGTGTACGCGGAATCCTTGGAGGAAGTCCGTGAATTTCGTGTGGGTTAGGTGACCCTTGGTGTGAGTCCATAAACATCCACCCCTACAAAGATCCTAGATTAGTGAATGTCATTTGATGTGCAACATAAATGACAAATTCGTGCACATTAGCACTTGCATGTGTTGAGGAGTCGGAAAGGGCTTGGGTTGATGTGCATGAGTGAGTCTCATCTCATTTCATGACAGGACATCTCAATTTCCAACATTAGAGGCATATTATTGCTTGGAATGTTATGAAATTGTGGATTGTTAGCATACGAACATTTCATATGTATTTAGGGAGGAGTAGCATATCTAGGAGATACTCTATTGAGCGTAGCTCACTCTTGGTGGAAAAACATTTCAGGTACGGGGTTCATACCGGTGGACGGCTCCCATTTCAAACCTCCAAGATGAAGAAAAGGTCGATTTGTGGCCTTGATTGTGAATTTTGTAAAATTTTTGAGAAAAACATACATTTTGGCATGTAAATATATGAAATCATTGTAATAGATCTTGTATGTATCAAGTCTTATGTCAAAACCTATATTTTACATGTTTGGGATGTTTGTGGGAAAGTTTAGAATAAATTGGAAATGAAAACAGATAATTCTGAGCAAAACCTTCCGGAATGTCGCAACAAACCTTCCGAAAGGTTTGGACAAAGACATGGAAAAATTGTTGAACAATGGGTGAAACCTTCCAGAAGGTCGATTCTAACTTTCTGGAAGGTCTTCACATTTTTCTAAAATGAGGGAATCCAATGTGTAACTTCTTCCGGAAGGTTGAGCACACCTTCCGGAAAGTCAACACATCTTTCTTAAAAATAGGATTCCAGTATGCTTGATTTTCCGGAAGGTTAAGGAAACCTTCCGGAAGTTTTATGAAAATCTACTAGAAGGTTCTCACAAAATTTCAAAATTTTGAATTCTTTCCCTCAGTTCTTGGACAATCTTTCCTCTTATTCAAGGGTGTCCTACGGGATAAAATGGCTATAAATTAATGTGTAAAGAACCACGGTTGTGTGGGTATAGTTCTGGGTAAGGGGTTAGCTTCGATGTGATGTCAGGTGGTACGACAATCACAGGTACTTCCGCGGGTTGACAAGTGGTCAACGGTTGATAAAGGGCCCTAATTTTAGGGGCGTCACATTAGCTCTGACAGTTTATAACTTTTGTGTTAATTATAGATGACTTCTGTTATAAGAGTTTTATTTTTTTTTATTATTATTAATTTTCTTTTGACCACCTTAAGTGATTTTTGTGTTGACTTAGGTGACTCTTGTGACAATTGTAGGTGACTTACGTGACAGCTCTAGGTGAATTTTGTAACAGCCCTAGATGATTTCTGTAACAGTCCAAGGTGACTTTTGTAACAATCCTAAGTGACTTCTGTAACAGCACTACGTGACTTCTATAACAATCCCAGGTGACTTTTGTAACAACCTTAGGTGATTTCTGTAAAGGTAACTTCTATAACAATACTAGGTGACTTCTGTAACAGCCTTAGGTGATTTCTATAACAACCTTAGGTCACTTCTGTAATAGTCCAAGGTGACTTCTGTAACAACACTAGGTGACTTCTATAACAACCCTAGTTGACTTCTATAACAGTCCTAGGTTACTTTGTAACAGCCTTAGGTGACTTCTGTAAAGGTAACTTCTGTAACAGCCCTATGTGACTTCTGTAACAGACCAAGGTGACTTCTGTAACAGCATTAGGTGACTTCTGTAATAGTTTTAGGTGACTTTTGTATTATTGTATTGCTACTATTATTATTTTATTTCCCCTTATTTATTTATTTATTGATAGCATCAAGGTTTATTTTATTATTATTATTATTATTTGTTTTTTTATTATTATTTTATTTATTTATTTATTTATTTTTCAGATGGCCTCTTCTCAAAAAGCCAAATTAGGAAAAAATATCAAAATTTCAAGTCAAAGAAAGAAACTACCTTCCGATGAGTGGATTGCAAAGTCGGATGATCCAATTCTGAAAGATAAAGTTTTGTGTTTTCCAACTGTTGTGGTAAAGAACTATAGAACCAATGAGCTGTCAATATTATCGCTCAAAGTTCTTGAGCCTATGACTGGTCTCTGCAGCTGCTCGAGAATAATCTATGAACCTGAACTTCATATGCCGGTGATTAGTGAATATCCTCTGCCAAAGAACATGCACGAAAATGACATGGTTAAGTCAGATCGACTACCCTCACTTTGCGTGCCTTCGTATCATTTCAAAAATCATCTTATCCCAAAGCCACTTGTTCCTAATCTGATCAACTAGAGGACTGCGAGGTGGGGATGTTCATTGAACCCAAGAGGAGATATTCAACATTTGAATGGGTTTTGGGAGTGGTCTCAATGAATTTACCACACGTTGCTAGACAAAGGTTTCGACGAACTTGCTTATGTTGTGCATGCAGCTTCTTTTGACTATTCTCGACCTAACAATGTATATCACACCCATTGTGAAGTTTGGTGTCCACAGACGAATACGTTTGTTATGGTTGTGGGAAAAATTGGAATCTCACTTTGGGAAATGTGACACATCACCAGTATTCCAATCCGTGGTGAATATTTTGAAGAAGTTATCCCAAACCTAACTAAGTTGAGAGACTTTGGTACTGACACTTTCCCTGTGACTTGCCTGTATTTTTTTAAGACTTTTGTCTTAATTAACAAAAAGAAAGGAGATAATCATCCCTGTCATTCAAGTTGGCTTGATTTTTGGTTCAAGGATGGTGCACGTGCTTCGGATCCTAAGAAAGGTAAGGCATATAGAGCAGCCATGACAAATTGCTTTAAAAGGGATGGAGAATTTTTTGTAAAGCAACAATTGATGAGACCTATTCAGGCAAAAATACAACCTATGAAGACAAAGGTCAATGGTGATGATCCCTTCATTCTTCTAGATCTTTACTTGATGTCACGACACATGAAGACTTGGAGATTGCAGCTTATTTAGCTTTATGGCTATGTCACTTTATATTTCCTTCATCGAACGATGTTATTTGTCTAACTATCTTCAAAACTTCCTCCCGAATGACTACTGGAGTCAGATATAGCTTGGTTCCCCCTATTGTTGCAAGCATTTACAAAGATTTATCTAAAACATGCAGCAGCTGATATGATCAAAAGAACCTCGAGGTGGCTTCTTATGCTTTTCAAGGCCATTACTTTTATGCTTGGGCTGTGTTGCATTTCCCTCGGAGAGTTTATGCTGAGGTTGATAAGGAGCTTGATCATCCTTTGTTTCGACAATTCAGAGGTACACTGAATGCTTATCTTTTTTATGAGGAAGAAGCAAAAAGATTTCGATATCTTCTACGTGGAAGTATAAGTTCCAGTGATTTTTGCTGGCAACCAGTTCCGTATTCTAAAAACCAAGGGCCTCGTCGTGATGATGGACAAAGATCAGATGAAACCTCTGAATTAATGAAACGTATGCGAGGTGGACACGTCATGTATCGTCATGGGCTAGTTTGCATTCTTGAGATGTATAACCCACATCGCTTTATTAGACAGCATGGATTTCATCAAAGATTATCGGGTACTCCCTCACATCCATCAATAATTTCGTTTGATGCCTCTTTTTTATATTGGGAGTGGTTGAGTCTAACTAGGATAAAGAGTGGGGCAAGATTCCATGTCCTTAATAATTGCGCTCGCATTGAGAATCAACATGACAATAGTGATAACAACTAGTGGAAAGATGATGTACTCCCACACCTAGAAGACATCAATTGTAAAACCTTGTTGGCTAGTGAATCTGAGAATTTCAAATTCAAAGCTCAAGCTGATGGGTTAGGGAAGGGGAAATCCCTTCGCACAATGGCTAAAGCTCCTTCACGTCTTAAAAAATGAGACATTTCAAAGAATTGTTTGAATCCTGAGAACAACTAGTTCCAAAGATGTTAAAGGTCACAACACCTATTTCAAGATCAGCTAATGTTCGATCTGTTCATCCTTTAAACATCCCAGAGTCTGTTGAAGTGAGTTCATCAAATGAATCTGATCATGCACTCCTTTCATCCTGCATGTCCAAGGGTATTTTCAAATAACAGGATATATGCTTGAATCGTGGAAGGATTCCAAGCACAATTGTACCAGTTGATAATCCTGGTTCTACTAAGCAGACAATTCAAGAGAGGTGCCAAACAAGAGCTACAGAAGGTGAGCATAATTTGGCTTGTGTCCGATTAGAAGATGGTGCAAATCATACCACTACAAAATCTCACACAAGAAGGGTTGACCCATCTTGTAATGCTCTCAATGACTTATCAACTTTTTTAGAATTATCCCCGCGATCCCGCAATAAAGGTATTAGCAAAATTTCGTTACTATTATCATTAATTTTTTTGTTTATATATATATATATATTTTTTTTTTTTTCAAACCTCTTACCTTTTTTTTTTTAAACTTTTCCTCCACTTCCAGATCTTGCCACATTAAATTCCATCCCAGGTATTTGTAGAGACCAAAATCTTGACAATGATATCATTAGAGGTTTATTTGATGACAACGATCGGTCCATATCCATTCTTTTCGACAGTGTTGAGATTCTTCCTTTGGTTAATGGAGAACATACCAATCCATGTGAAGGGGAAGTTAATTCTAAAAAAAACCCTTCATGTGCTATACAAGCAAGGCAAGAAGCTATTAATAACTCTGTTATGAATACTCTTCCTGGGCCTTATGGACCTGGTGAAGCGCGATCTCCAAGACTAATACCGATGGTTTCATCTATCTCAGGTATATTTCATTAGCCTGATCTAGTTACCCTTTTGATTAGTATGCAACTAATCACATATCTTTATCTATGTCAGGTCCTCCTATTAAAGTAATTACTTCTGAAAAATTGGTAAAGAAAATAATTTTGACCGGGATGCCCCCATATTTGAAGGGTGAATTTGATTATGCCATGAAAAATGGATTCTCTGGATTGAAGACCTGGTGGACCTCCAAGTCTTCAAGTATTGAAGATACTCTTAAAAATCTTTTCTGTGTTGACACAGATCCTTTGGTGAGAAAAATGGATTGTCTTCTTGTGAAAGTAGATGAGTACCTTTCAAAACGCCAAGAAAGCGTCAAAGTTTTAACCTCTAGAGAAAGAGATAGAAGGTTGGCGACAATTGATAGCACGATATCAGGAGGACAATTCAAAGTTCTTGGCTTGAGTGAACAACTGTTGAAATCTGAAGCAGAGTTATTGAGTCTTGATGATGAAATCCGACGACTACAAGGTCAGAGGGCCGAGGTAGTATCTAGCATTGACTTCATTCGTGATGAACAACATAACACTAAAGAGACTATTGTGGTGATGGAGAAAGAGTGTGACGAACTCCAAGAGTCTCATACTCATAGTGTTGAGGAGATACAAGATATAGACAAGATGCGATCCATGTTAGAGAAGGAATTTGCTTCACTAGCCTCGATCGACTGGGTTGAAAAAATTTTATGATTGCATAACTCCTCAATTGTAATTCTTTATATATATATTAGCAAATATGGACGTTTAGATTTGAAATTTTTTTTATGCTATTATTTATTGTACTAAAAAAAAATTGATTCTCAAATAACCTAGATATCATAATTTCAAAGGAATTTTTTTTTTTTGTTGAACCGTACACAGTTTTAGCTCATGCAGGGCTAGGAGCAAAATTTTTTTTTTGGTTAAGTAACAAAAAGGTTTTTTTTTTTTTTAAGCTAAGTAATAAAAAAGTTTTTTTTTTAAACCATACACAGTTTTAACTCATGCAGGTTAGGCTCGTGCATAAGGGAGCAAATGAACCTTTATTTTTGGTCAAGCTGTACACAGTTTTAGCTCGTGCGGGCCAGGAGCAATAAATTATTTTTTTATTTTTTTTTTTCCATGCACAGTTTTAATTCATGCGGATCAAGAGTAACATGCGGTTTAGGCTTGTGCATAAAGGAGCGGATGGACCTTTATTTTTTTGGTCAAGCCGTACACAGTTTTAGCTCATGCGGGCCAGGCGTAACATGCAGTTTAGGCTCGTGCGTAAAGGAGCGGTGCTTGCTTTAGGCATAGAAGCGCTTTAGAAATTTTTCATTGATTGGGCCAACCCTTAAGCCATCTTTGCCAACAATTTTGTATGCGTCGTTGGTATAGACTTCTTTCATCACATATGGACCATCCCATTTTGGCATGAATTTTCTACCGGTGCGATGCGGAATGACAATGGGTCTTCGAATTACAAGGACCAAATCTCGTATTTGGAATGATCGGACACAAACCTTCTTATTGAAGGCTTTGGAAAATCTGGCTTGATAACATTCCAAGTTTTGTTACGCATCTAGTCTCTTCTCATCAAATGCTTCAAGCTTATCTAAATGTAAATGAAAATTTTCTTCATTTGTGAGTTCTTTTTGTAAGGCGATCCGCAGGGAGGGAATTTGACGCTCTAAAGGAAGAACAACTTCAACGCTATACACAAGGGAATATGGAGTAGCTTGTGTTGGAGTTCGGTATGTTGTTCGATATGCCCAGAGGGCTTCACCAACCCTTTCATGTCAATCATTCATTGATTTAGAGACAACTTTCTTCAATAAATTGCACAAGGTCTTCTTGAAGGCTTCTGCGAGTCCATTAACTAGTGCGTTGTACATGGCTGAATTATGTCGTACAAATCTAAATTTGATGCAGAGCTTGGCCATTAGGCTATTGAAAAATGGTTTTCCATTATCAGTGATAATGTAACGAGGTACACCATACCAATTTATAATATTTATCCGAATGAAGTCGACAACATTCTCTTTTTTCACTTCTTTAAAAGGAACCGCTTCCACCCACTTGGAGAAATAATCGGTTAATGCTAAGATATAAAGATGTCCTACTGACAATTTGGAGTCAAAGGTCCTACAACATCAAGTCCCCATGCATCAAAAGGCCATGATGCAACTGTAGGATGCAACAGTTCAGGTGGCTGGTGAATGAAGTTGGCATGGAACTGATAAGCTTAGCATTTCTTAGCGTAACTCATTAAATCTTGTACCATAGTGAGCCAGTAATACCCCATTCTCTTTATTCAAAAATGTAGTTTAGGCCCTGATTGATGACCACCACAGATTCCGAATGAGCTTCCTCGAGTACTTGGGCAGCTTCTTTTTCGTCCAAACATCATAGAAAAATACCATAAAATGAACGACAATAGAGGATGCCTTTATAATAAATAAATCAAGGAGCTCTCTATTGTATCTCGGTTCAATGACGTGGGTCATTTGGTAATTTCCACACTACAAATAGTCAATTAGAGGTTGCCTCCAATCTTCATTTTCAACTTACACTACTTAAATGGTAGTAACTTCCTCCATTCCAGGGAGTAACGGAGGTATTACCCATCTTTGAAAAACTAGAACTAAAATTATTTGGTAATAGGGTTTTGTAAGCACGACGGCAAGATTGGCAAGAACATCAGCAAATATTTTTTCATCGCGTGGCACGTTTTCAATGGTGACTCGCTCAAACTGACTCATAAGTTGAGTTCCATAGCGACAATATGGAATCAAATCTGGTTTACGAACATCGTACAATTCCAAAACCTAATGAATCACCCGCTTCGTGTCTCCATAGATTTCCAACTAAGAGAGCTACATATCAAGTGCCAATTCTAGGCCAATGATCAAAGCTTGGTACTCCACCACGTTATTGGAGCAAGACTCTGTCAAGGTAATTGCATAAGGCAATACTTCATCTTGAGGGGTAATGAAGACCACACCTACACCAGCTCCATACCTTCGAGCAACACCATCAAAGTATAACTTCCAAGACGGTATGAAGTCAATGAAGAAAACTTCATCGTCTGGCAATTCTTCTGGTAGCTCCCAGTCCGTAGGGATCGGGTGATTTGCAAGGAAATCAACTAATGCTTGTCCTTTGGCTGCTTTTTGTGGAACATAAACTATGTCATATTCAGACAATAGAAGTGCCCACTTGTCCAACCTTTCCGAGAGAATTGGCCTTGACATAATGCACTTGACAGGATTAGATTTTGAAATGAGATGAACAACATGAGCGAGCATATAATGCCTCAACTTCTTTGTAGCGAAGACTAATGCAAGTCACATCTTTTCAATAGATGAGTAGTTTAGTTCTGCACCTACTAATATCCAACTCAGATAGTATAATGTATTTTCATTTCCCTCATCAATAACTTGTGCTAAGAGTGCTCCTAATGACTGTTCTTGGGCAGCAATATAAAGGATCAATGGTTCTCCTTGAATTGGTGCTGCGAGGACCAGGGGATGAATGAGATATTGTTTGATATTTTCAAAAGCATTCTGTCAAACATCGTCCCACTGAAAAAGAACACTCTTCTTCATTAGTTTATTGAACGGATGACAACGTCTGGCGAGGTTCGAGATAAATCTTCGTATATATGCAAACCTTCCTTGAAGACTTTTCAGGTCATGCAGATTGCGAGGCTCTGGCATTTTTAAGATACCCTATATTTTTTATTGATCAATCTCGATGCCTCGATGTCTAACAATAAATCCAAGGAACTTGCCAGACGTAACCCAAAGGCACACTTTAAGGGGTTCATTTTTAGTTGATATCTCTGAAGCCGTTCAAAAATACTACGCAAATCATAAAGATGATCTTCGCACCTTCTTGTCTTTACGACCAGGTCATCAACGTAACATTCAACCTTTTGTGTAGTACATCATCAAAAATCTTTTTCATTGCACGTTGATATGTGGCACCAACATTCTTGAGTCCGAAGGGCATCACTTTGTAGCAGTAAACTCCCTAGGGGATTCGAAATGCAGTGAGTTCTTCGTCCTTTAGGTCCATTTGAATTTGATTGTTCCAGAGGAGCCATCCATGAAGGATAAGACCTCATGTCCCGTAGTCGCATCAACCATGAGTTCTGTAATCGCCAGTGAAAAGTCATCTTTCGAACATGCTTGATTTAAATCTCTAAAATCAACACAAACTTGAATTTGTCCATTCTTTTTTCTGACAGGTACAATATTAGCAATCCATGTTGGATATTTGACTTCTTGAATGAATCCAGCATCTATCAACTTATTGACTTCAGCTTCGATCTGCGGGACTAGTTTTGGACAGAATCTTCATTGTGGCTGTTTAATAGGGTGAGCACCATGTTTAATAGCAAGATGATGAACTGCAAATTTGGGATTAAGCCCTGGAATTTCTTTATATGACCATGCAAAAACATCTTTATACTCCTATAGTAGTTTAAAGTACTCACCTTCCTTTTAAGGTTTCACAAGAACACTGATGAATATTGGTCTTGGATCATCTTCTGTTCTTAGATTCAATTACTTTAGATCATCAACATTGGCTTGCCCCCCTTCTTCAAATGTCGACGGTGTTGGTTCGGTCTCATCATCAGAAGTTGAATCTTCTAGTTTGACGTTTCATCAATAGTCACATGATTCACAGAAACAACTTCTTCCTCAATCTTGAATTTATTGATTGGTAAGGAATAAACATCCCTCGAACATACTTGATCTAAGTTTTGAAAAAGTATACAAATTCTCATATTTTCATTCCTCTTTCTCAGTGATACTATGTTTCCAATCCACATAGGATTTTTTGCTTCTTCAATGAAACCAGAATTGACCAACGTACTGACGTTGATTAAAAATTATAAAACTGATTTTTGACAAAACCACTGTGGTGACAACATATTAGAGAAAATGTCATTCGTAATAGTGGAATAGATGATTGCATCATTGTGACCAATATCTTCATGGTCATCCTCAAT